TACTAGGGGCTCCTGGCCTTACTACTAGGAGCAAGGACGCTACTAGGAACATCTCTCTCTATTTTTCAGAAGTCTTTCCCGACATCAGCCGACCGACTCGCCGCTCCCCCAAGTCAAAGCGCGGTGATGACGCGCGCGACGAGACGTCACGCGCGTGACATCTTGCCCAAGGCGCCATCATCCGGAGGACCTCCCGAATGAGGTTCACCATGAACTCCTGCTCGGTCGGCTCCAAGGAGTGCAGCGGCTCGTAGAAGTATCGCAGGTCTGCCAGGCCCTCCAAAGGGTCCTCGCGGGCAAGGGTCTCCCAGGTTTCGCAGGTTGGAGGCCCTTTGTTGACCCAAACCACGAGGTTGTAAAATCAAAGACGTAAATATGTTCAGTTCAGTTCAGTTCTATTTCAATTTGGGAATCTGCATTCAACTACCTGGGGGGGCCTTCCAGATGTTAAAAAATAACATCTCAACCACGGAGGTCTTGACTGCAACACAGAGGTCTTGGACTGAAATGTATACAAGGCCGGACTCACTACACCAAAAAAAATCGACAGCGAGACTGACCACATCTGGCAGCTTCGCTTTGGTCAATGCCAAGGAATGGTGTTTCTCAAAGCGCAAGTCCAATAAATGATCAGAGATGCAAAGATGCGATCGAAGAGTCAAATGCCATGCTTGGAATGCTAAAAGCTTAAGGTTGCCAAACCAGTATATATGCAGCGGCCCCACTTGCACATCTATGTGGGCGTGGCGGCCCAAGTCCTGCCGATGACGCTGGCTGTCCCGCAGGGTGCTGATCTCCTGAAGAGGCTCCGCGAGAATGCTGCTTGTTGGGCCTTCTGTGCCACCTCCCACAAAAGGTAGAAGCTGGATGGTCAATAGATGTTACAAAGGCCTATAAAACTTGCTTTCCTCCAAACCACTGGGAGGTGGCTGGCAGTGCAAAAAAAACATGCTTAAAATATCACACACCTTTCAGCCTGAAAGCAACATCGAGTGGCTGTCCCTTATTTTTTCATCCGAACGCTTCGCTCGCGCTCGCGAAAGGCGGCAGTGCTGGGTCAGCGTTTCCTTCAAATATTCTGAGCGTAGTTGCCGCAGCTGGGTCTTCAAGGACTCCACTCCTAACGAGGCGGAGCGAGGGTGGGTGGATATGAGGCAAGGGCGGGCGGCGGATAGGAGGAGCATCCAACAGGTCAGCTGCATGGAACGGCATGGAGCAGGATATTCTGGGAGAAGGTTAAAGAAAGTTGCTGAAAGGCAGCTCAAGCCATGCCAGGAATTGCCAAACACCACCAGCAGAGGCTTTCTGTTTCACCACTTCTTAGTCAAAACGAAAACACCAAAATCGGCCGGTCATGGGTCCGTCCTGCTTCCAGGTTCACTCGATGCACTCGCAAAGGCTTCACGAACTCGTGCCAGCCTTGAACAAGCATACTTTGTCCATGCTTGTGCTTACTGGTCTGAGCAGCACATCAGCACATCTCGAGAGGCTTCAACCCCCGAAACCATGATATATGTATCAGCAAAACCAACGGGGGGCCTTGAGTTGTGGACTCCTTCCCATGTTTCGCCAGGGGCACCCACAAGTTCAGTTGGACAGTTCTCCACATACAAATTACAGGATCCTTTTATCTAGTGAAGGTTGACCTGTCCACACAACATTCATGCCACAAAAAATCCCTTTTTGCAGATCCTCCCCAGCAAGGTTTTCTTGCCCACATGGGTTTCTTCCTTCCAAAGAATCAAATATGTCAAATATGTCACTGCTGTGCACCCTCTTTGTTGCTTCACATGCTTCTTTGGGCTCCAATCCCTCTGCTGCTGCTTCGCACTGCTTCGCACCGCTTCGCACTGTTTCGCATCCTCTATGATCCGCCAAGCAACAAAGATGCGCAGTGCTCACCTTCGCTTCGTGGAGCTTTATGGCAATCATCTTCAGAAACTCCTACAAGCCGGTGGAGGTCAGTTGGTTCGAAACCCGGGTTGCCGAGAGCCACAATTGCAGGGAGGGTTTGTTTGGCCACGAATCACTGAAATTGTAAAACGACCACTGAAGCTGGGAAAATCTACTCACTGCGCAGCTTTTGTGGATTCCCCTACAAGCGCAGCGTCTTCGGCAAGTGCGCTGCGTCTTGCGCGCTGCGTCTTGCGTGTGCGTCGCGACGCACCAAAGCCGAGCCCATGCCGTGCCTCGCTATCGATGGGCCTTCCCGTTGCAAAGAACTCCTGAGTGGTGAATCAACGGTCACAGCGGGCTGGATCTCAGGGATGCTCGTTGAAGATGACTCTAGGACCGCAGGCCCATGGCCCTGACAAGAACCGGATTCTGGAAGCTTACCAGTAGCTGTTTCCTTAATTCCACCAATTTAACCAGTTTGACGATAATAGATGTTTCCCTCGTCCACGACGGGCGCGTTTTCGACGTCCTCCTCGGCCTTGAAAGCGTGGTCGTGGGCCTGTCGTTTTCGCCCCCCCACGCGGGGGCCTCGTCGTCGTGTCCGGCATTTGGGGCGCAACTCATTTGAAGCCACGTGAAAAGAATGCAAAAGGGGCAAAAAAACACAAGCACTGTGTTTGAAGGTGCCTTGAGGTGCAGATTTCGTGGCTGGTGCAGTAGTTTGTGCACCTTGAAGTGCATATGTCGTGGCAGGTGCAGTACTTTGTGGACCTTGAGGTGCAGGCTTCGTGCTACTTGGCTGACCTTGATGTGCAGGTTTCGTTTCAGGCGCACTACTCGGTGGACCTTGAAATGCAGATTTCGTACATCACCCGCTGCACTTGCCACGAAATCAGAGCACGCCGAAGACCACCACCATGTCCAAAGTACTGCGCCTGAAAGGAAATCTGTACATCGACATAAACACCCTCAGATCTCCTGCACCTGTCACGAAAAGTCGACTTTGGACCACCAGAACACGAGGTGTCCCTTGCGCCTGCCACCAAAAGCGATCACCTTGCGCCTGAAAATGTTCACGTCACCACACCGAGAGCGCAGTCTCGAAGAGCACCCGCTCAGCAGCGAATTAGCCGGACCCGGCCGCGAGCACCTCGATCAGACATAACACTAGTGTTACCACAGACAAATCCACGGCTCCGAAAAGGATCCACCCGTGTTCGTGTCCAGTCCATGGTCGCTCCGGTCAAAGGGATTGCCCCGCATTCCGGCGGAACGAATTGGTGAAGTTGGGGGGTCGCACCTGTCGTAGGAAGCGGGAGAATCGCGCCATGAGCTGAAAATTGTTCAGGACATTGGCCATAAAGACCTTATGGTCTTCCTCGCTGGCTGGCCTCACAATCAACGATGACTTTGGGGCGATCTAAGAGGGTGCTTTTCAGACCTGATGAAGCTTTACTTACAAGGGAACTTACAATAAGCGGGATGCCCATGAGGTTGAGGACTGTCAGAAGTCAACCGTGAAGCACCAAAAGAGTCTTTCCATATACATCTTTGTGAAGTCTGGTGCGCGTTTCCGCAAATTTCTATCAGGAGAATAAATCAGAATGAACAATAAAAAGGAACGGAGGCAATAAGTACTAAGTGACTCCCGACCTACTCATCACCCCGCCTGAATTTGCTCAGCTCGTGCCATTCTTTCAAGTTGCTCCGCTGGATTCCAAGCTTCAGAGACCTGGCGCGCTTCTTTCCGCCCCTTCAAAGAGTGGTCCGCTTGGAGTGCTGGGAGTGCTGGGTTTGTATCTGTTTCTGAAAATCTTCTTACTAGTAGCGTCCGATCGCTCCGTTCGAGTCGCGTCCCGTCCGACGGTCCACGTCCTCCCCCTATCGGTGGTCGTGGTCTGTTGTCTTGTTACGTTCTTAGCGTCCTCTTGTTACTAGTAATGCCCTTGTTGCTAGCATTCTTGCTACTAGTATTGCCAGGAGCTACGTTCGTAGCGTCCTTGTTCCTAGTTTCAATCTGTTTGCCCCACGGCCAATGGACGTGGGCCCCAGGGCCCCGCCTGTTCACCGTCAGGATCCGCAAGACCAAATCTCTGAAGCGGTGCTTCTTCGGCAGCTCCACATCGTCCAACAGGCTCAGCTCTTGCGTGGGCACCTTCGATCGAACCAACAATGGCCGCATGCACCTCTCCACCCGCGGGCGTCGGTGTTCAGAGGATCGAAGTGAGAGTCCGAATGATTGCATCGAAGAAGAAATCTCGCAGTTCTTGTAACGGCCAAGGAATTGACCTCGTGTGGAAGAGTTGTATTTTCCTAGATGTCGAAAATGAGAATTGAATGGCTTGCTGGGAAGTGGAAATCCCACCCCTCCTGTTCCAACTCAATACCTTTCGCATCCTATCTCCATCTCCTGTCCCCCGCCCACCGCGGGCCCACCGGGTTCGGACCTTCCCACCGCGCTGTCTCTGCTGGTGTCTCTGCTGATCTGCTTTCAGCGCGCTCTGGACGCGTTCCAAGGCTTTCGACATCCGGGACCACGGCACCACGGCGCCGACCGATCGACGTGCGAATGCGGGCGGGTTTTGAACGTCCTGGGCGAGGCTTGGGAGCGAAGGAACTCGACTTGTCCGTTTTGGTGAGCGGTGTCAGCTTTTTCGTAGTGCAATGCCGCGATTTCGCCGATGTAAATATGCCAAGACTAGACTCGCAATACGGGTGACCTACCAGAAGAATCTGGGTTACATGTTGTGACCTTGTCAACAACCTTCTCTGTCACTGCCAATGAATGTGGCATGCATGCCCAGATCCTAGTTCCAAATATGCTCACATGCTCCTTCTGTTTAGAAAGTTGTAGTCGCCCTTGCTCTCGGGGTCCACTTCATGTCAAAGTCTCTTGAACAAGTTGACTGAAAATAAGCTGCGGAGCAGGCAAAGCCATGTGACCATCTCGTGGGGCCTACAAAAACGTGCAGTTTATGCTATTCTTCGCGTGGTGGCAAGGAAGAGATCCAATGAATCTCTTCAGTAGGTGAGGAAAGGTGAAATCTGCACATCAAGGTGGATGAGAGCGCTAGCTCGTTCATTTCTTGTTGCTTCTTCTCTTCGTGCACCGCTAGGCCATAACAAGGAACACCACATCCCTTTTGCGAAAGTATGTAGCCGTAGCCTTCAGTCAGAGCCAAAACACAAGCCAAGCTAAACAACGCAACTACCCGAGCTCTGCGAGCCAGGAAAGCACCTTCAAGGGGAACAATTCTTTCTCTGACAACTCCAAACATCAAAAGGTACCTCTGAATGGGTTCTGCTCCATTGCACATCACGGATGCTCCACTGACTTGAAAAAAGAGGCTTCCCAGGTCGATGAAATCTTTTCTTTACTTTTTCCGACCCCAAAACTTCCCGTCTCGCTGCACGATGTGCCAACCACCACCGAACCCACCCCCGCTCGCTCTCCACCGCCATGGCACACCGCTTCCACGATGGGCGCTGAAGCACCACCGTCGTCCAGGTTGGTACCTTGCGCCAGTGGAGTGGAACCGTGAGGACGCAGTGCCCCCCGGTGAGAGAAGGCGGAGGAAGGTGCCCTTCTTATCGTTCTTCAGGAGAGAAACCCTCGTGGAAAGGAGAGGCTTTAGGCAGGAACGGGGGCAGCGCCCCTGGCATCACATAGGAAGTTTGGTGGGAGAAACTGCTGTTGGAGAAACTGCTGTTCGATCAGGTTCAATCATTTTCAGTAGGGATTTCTAGTCTAAAGGATCAATGTATGTCGGCAAATCGACTATCACTTCGGCAAAAGCACATCCCAGTTTCATACTTTGAGTTTGACAAACCACCGACACGACTACCATGAACAAGACCAGTTAGTGGATTTGCTCCGCCTTCGTCGCACGCAGGCTCAGTCCCACACGCGCTCGCGCCAACAGCTGGACCGTCTTCACCGTGAGGTTCTGGAGTAAAACCGTCGCGTGGGTGAGGTGAAAACCGTGGGTTTTGCGGGGAAAGGGGAGACCAACACAGACCACAACCCTGCACCAATATCTGGACTAGCTGACTACTAGTAGCTAAAGCCCACCAATCCAGAAGAAAATGAACATGATCAACTCATCTTGAGCATTCTTGAGCCATGTACTTCCAACCTTCCTGACAAGAGCGGAGCCAAAGTACTGAATCACTCCAAAAGACCCTGGAACACCACCACCACTTGCCCCAATGTGTCTGATATGTCTCCATAGCATCCTGCACATGAGCTTTGCAAGGTGACATCCGAGACATCAGAATCAACAGAGTTTCACACCTCAAGACCCACATAGGGCCTGTAGCTTCCCCTCGACCGCGTGGTGACCTCTCCTCCTCGGTGTTGTCCACCAGAGTAGGATCCCAAGGAGGCAAAATCGCATAGAGCGGAGCCTTGCGTAGGCCGAGCGCGGGAAGTGGCTCCAGCATCTGTGTGGAGCATCTGCTCCATCGATGCCCAAAACTCAAAAAGCACCAGAACCATCCAGAATCCCCGGCCAGTGCTAACACTCCCAGTGCCCTACCTGGTTCCTTCTTCACTTTTCTGAGTTACATGGGACATGCGGTTGGCGCCCCAAAATGGATGTCGCATAGTTCTTTTAAACGTATCTAGGTCATTGCTTCACTCCTTTCACATAGATGATCTGTCAATCCTCATAAATGTCTGTGCAAAGTTGAGAAACATTGTTTTCTGGGACCTAGATACGTATATACCATGGTAAAGCACCTACCCCAACTTATGACTGATCATATTATACCATGGTTTTCTGGGACTCACGAATCAAGCACCTAACAAAAACAGCCGAACTCAAGCCATGCTCAGTTCACATACAAAAAGGGCTTTCGACAGAGTTCGAACCGCCCAATTCTGCCCAAATCAAAACATACATACATCTTGAAGAACACTTAAACCATTTGAGGAATATGAAGCTGGTGAATCTTATGAAGTATAATTCACATGAAACTTCAAGGAATCATCTGAATGAAACTGATTTCAGCGCCACGTCGCACCACCTCACCCGGCCTTGCGCCCAAAGTCGTCGACCGGGTCCGCGCTGGCCTTCGCTCGTAGCAACACCTCGCTCGGCACGACCGCTGTCCGACCGGCCGACCGATGGAACCGGGTCCGGTGTCGCACCGACCGTGTCCGACTGAGTCGGTGTCGCACCGGTGTCGAAGGTTTGGTGGATGATCGCCCATGAGAGCGGTGCGTGGGGGGCGTTTGGTGATAGACATGTTTCGTCCCGCATGGAGTCAGCCTGGCAGAAGATTTGGAGATGTTAATAGGCTCAAATGTTCCTGTGAGATCTATGAGTGCATAAACAAACACCCTTCTAAAGAGCTAGGCTTCCAAAAACGACCAGCTCTTGCGACGCCGACCCGCATGTAACACGAATTCAAGGGCTCAACCATCCCTCCATTCCTTTGCAGGGTCTTAGCATGTATTAGCATATAGATCATATAGCCCCACCCGGACCCCCGGAAAAAAGAAAGAACACTAGACCCAAACAAAATGCGGGTGAGTCTTCCATGACTGTAGAATAGGGTTTCACCGCGTTTCACCTCCCAGGTTCGACCCCGAAGGCGAAGGGATGCTCAGAGCCAGTCCGGCATCCCGCGACCCGGCGACCCGCTTCGCCTCCACCGCTTCGGTGTGCTTCGCATGACACGCCAGGCTCAAGGGCGTCGTGCCGAAGGAGCTCCTGGGAAGAACGACCAGGGCGACCAGGGCCGTTTCGGGGGCCGTTTCGGGGGGAAGAAGTTGGGGACCCCCAACAACAGCCGCGACCAATTTGGTCCTTCCAAGTGTTGTAGAGCTGTCAAGCTCAGCACTTTTCCGCAAAATGATCAAGCACCCTGCTTTGCTGTGGAGGACAAGCGTTCTCTTCCGCGGCAAAGCAACATCTTCCGTTTTCCAAGCATCCCCAGATCTGCCCAAAGTCCTGACGTTGAGATTTGCTTTGTTTCTCACCATCTCAGCGATGATGCTGCTGCAGTTTTGCCTGTCAGCGATGCCCACCAGCATTTCGGTCATTTTAAGTGCCTGGTTTCCTGCTATACGCATGACTATTCATGAAGGAGCCATCAGAAAGTGTCCAAGCTTTTGTTCAACCACACTTGCCTCTGTCCTTCGTATATCTGCATCTCTCTGCAGCATATCACGTTGGACACACGTGCCAACCCTTGTTCATCTCGGTTAATCCCAAGTCTCATCAAGATCCCAAGTCTCATCAAAATGAGACAGAAGGTCGTCACTGGTGGCATTGGCATCATGTGTCTGGAAAAGCAATAGATCAAAAGCTTGCTGAGTGCCAGAATCATCACCATGCTTCTGGAAAAGAAAAGGAAAACAAACGCATTCCATCAGGTCTCACATCGAACTTATCTTTTCCCTGCCGTGGGACCGCGAGGGACCGCAGACGTCTCAATCCGAGCTCCCAACATATGCGGCTTCCTCGCTAGGACATGTAACCTGAAACCACCCAACAGAGCGGCCACGTTGGGAGGTTTCCCGCGCCACAGAAAGCAAAGAGAAAGACATTCTAAGAGGTTTCCTGTTTCTTCCAGCCCTCACGAGGTGAAGATGTATGTCAATGTGGTGAAACTAGTCATGTTTTAATTGACGATCATTTGCCTCTCATTCTTGAAGAATGTTCAAAATGACAAACCGTCTGTGTGGTCTTATTCATCCCTCTCTTCGCTCTTCAGCTCCCCTTTCATCTTCCAACCCTCCCCCTTCTTGATGCTGAAGGCACAGCGTCATGAACTCGGGAGCATCTTGAGGACGCATCGGTGCATTGACCTGGCGAGGCCGTAGGGCCGGGGCTGGGGCGAAGCGGCCGGGGCTGGGGCGAGGCGTCGACGGTTGAAATCGAAACGACACCCTTTTGTTGGGAGGAGCCAATAGGAGCAGGTTGAGATGCTGCCTCCTGAAGGGGGTTCAAGGAACATGACAAATGCTCAGCAAACAGCTGCGATTTTTCACGGTGTAGTGGCCCAGTGAACAACGGGCTTGCGTGGACGGCGTCCAGGTGTCTGCACATCAGTTGGCTCGGAGTCTTCGTCTCCAGTGTCAAAGGATCCCGTTGGTTCGGACATTGCGTTCAGACCCGAAAGGCAGGACCCCAGCTCTTAGGCCCCCGAGCCGATGCGCGCGCGGAGATGAGACGCTTCACGAGGCCCAAGTCCCCGCGGAGACAGGCTTCCTGAGCGCGCGGGTCATGGAGCTGAGGAAGGCGGAGGGCAAGTGCCTGAAGATGATATCAAAGAATCTTGGACGATGAGTAGGAATGGGACCCGAGGTCATGTAAAGACCCGGCCAACACGCAAAGACGTGAACAAGGCCGGCACAACAAGAGCCTCGCAGATCTCACCAAATCACGAGCAGTGGTGTCGTGAGGTGGTCACGGTCGCCAGTTCTCTCCCGTCTACCACCAGAAGATCAAAGTCACTGCTGAGGGAAGACTGTCTTTCATCAGCTCCCTTCCTACCCACGCGTCCCGTCTACCACGCGGAACGCCCGGTCGACTGCCCGGTCGACTGAAAGACAAACGCCCCGGAGGTCGACTCCTGCAAGTCATCGTTCGTGACGCGGAGAAGCCGCTGCTCCTGCGTCGGCCCACGCCGCGGGCGTCGGAGCAGGTTCCGCTCGGTTTCGCTGGGGTCAGAGAGGTAGAAACTGGCAGAGCACCTGCCAGGAAAAGGAAGTCCAAAGCGCTGGCAGGCCATTCACTTTGTTTCAAGAAAAGGCTATATAAACAGATCCATAGGCTGCTTTCTGCTAGGTGCTCGTTTTAGTCTGAAGCGCAACAACGAAGATGTCACCATAAGTGTGTGTGTGTGTGTGTGTTGGCCCTTTGACAAGCTTTGTACCCTCATGTTTTGTTTCCTCTCTTCCGGCTTTTTGTGGCTGCCAGCTTAAAAGGAAAGACGAGCATGCCCAGTATCCATCACCAGCACCCCAGTTCCTCGAGGCTCCCTGGAGCCCTCCATGAATCGCGCCGCTCCGGCGCTTGAACAAACTGGCCGACGGCGCCACAGTCCGGGTGCGACGGGCGACTCGGCCGCGACGGTTCGGTCGCAGCTTGTTTTGGGGGAAATGCAGATTGGACGGTGGAGGGAATGGTCACACAACTTCTGAACTCGAACCAGTTGCGAAGATTCGTTGATATAGATCCTTTGACCATTGTAGTGGTATTCTGAAGGCCTCTAAGTTCCAAACCAGCTAATCGAAGAGGTCTGTAGGCAGTTGCAAAGCTGCTTGTTTTGAAACCGTTTTGAGCCTGCTCAACATCTAGGTCAGCAACTTAGAGTATCAGAAGGGTTGAACATGTCTTTGCAATGGCCTCAGTCTGTTTCATCAAATTTGTCTGACTCCTTCTACACTTTCTCCGACCCTTTCTTGGCTTTGATTAAGCCACCATGGTGTTCAGCAAATAAAGATATAGCACCCCTCAAGGCCACCAAACCAATGGATCAAACCGCGTGCTTAATGTGCTTCACCTGTAAAAGTGACTCCAACATTCAATAAAGGAATCCGCCAGCCAATCCGCTGATCGATCTAGCATCTAGCAGAAGCCTCTTCTATCCACTCATCATTGTCCTTCAAGCAGAATCGCGGCGCGTGGGATCTGGTGTGGAAACTTGGCCTGAAATCTGCCGCTGAACTTCCCCAAGGATTGGACAAACGCTGTATCATGTCTAAGGTTCAGTATGCCTCCACCAGTGTGCCTTTCATTCCCCTTCTCCCCTCGGGAATGCCATGCCACGAGCCCCTCGGATTGATAGGAGCACAGGACTCAAATGGATGGAGAAGTCCTTGGACCCTCGAAACTGGGAACGTCTTGAGGCTCTGTTCCACAAAGACAGGCCGCCCCGCAGCGTTCTTCGACGGGGCAGCTCTTCGGGTTTGCCACAATCAGAAAAACCACATCAACTCTGTGGCCGGCCCCATGAGTCTCTCTGGTCAACTCTGTGGCCGGCCCCTGCTCCCGTCCTCGCTGGTAAAGCTGCTGAGTTCCTCATGGTCAAAGTCCTCAGTGGACCTCGGAAGCAACCCCCGAGACGCTCCACACTGGTTCCGGTCAAGGTGGAGAGCCTGCTGGTGGATCGAGGAAAGATCCTGCACCCCGAGGATGTTGGACAGTTTATCTTGGCTGTTGGAGTTTCTTCCTTCAACATCACCACCATTTTCACCTTCTCCAACATCTTTTCTCACTCAAATCGTTCCTCACACCATCCGGTTCTGGGTGTGTCCTTTGGTGGATTTGCACCTGCTAAAGCACTCTAAAGCGAGCCAATCAGGCCCCGGGCTCGTCGGTGGAGGTCCTCTGCGTGCTTCTCCGCGAGCTGGTAGGGTTGTGCCCCGAGAGCTTCCTGGCAAACCGCGTTCGAAGCTGTGGCGGGTCTCGAATTCTTGCGAAGGGCACCTGCGAAGGAAGGAACCTGGCCTTCTTCCAGAGCAATTCTCGCGTTCCAAGAATGGATTTCTCTCCACACCACGGGCTTAAAGAGCTTTCCCCAACTTCTTAGCTCTTCTTCGCTCGCTCCTGGGAGAGAACATCCTCCTGAGCTGCTTGGTGGTGAGCTTGAAGCGCCGCTTGTTGGTGAAGTCCCACTCCCAAGGCTTGCTCATGGGCGCCAGATTCTCCTAGGCCGAGTTCGTGTTTCATCTCCAGCGAGGTGCAGGCTGCGATTCGCACCGAGGCAGTGACCAAGCTTCACTACCAGACCCCCCCAACGAAAATCGTTCCTTCCTGCACTTGTTCCTTCTTGGCACGAAGAACCACCGTCCAGGACGAAAGGGTGCTTCTCACCCCCCGCAGTCAGCGACAGTCGGATCTCTCCGGGGGTCCCTACATCAGAGGCGGCCGCGTCAGAGCCTCAGAGATGGCCAGGGGTTGCTTGACCTTTGAATGGCCAGATCTGGGGCTCTCCTAATCTAATTCTATTCATACATGTGTCGCTTGGGAGCTTTGGGTTTCATTCCACCTCATCAGGAACCAAACGGGTCCACATCGATGCGATGGTCCCCTTTCAACCAAAAAAGGCGCCGGTCGTCATCCGCCCAAAACGTCGTTCCCAGGAATTGATGACGTGAGGCGAAGCGTCAAGTCGATTGACCGACATGCCATTTCTGCACCAAGAAGCTTGTGATCTGACCCTGGTCCTCCTCCTCCTGGCAGATGTGGCGCTCAAACATGCTGCTGGCGGGTTCGGCGGGATCGTGACCGGACACATGAGATCAAGCTGTCACCGCCACTTGAGTTCCATGCAGTTCCACACCAACTGTCCACCTATCTGAGGGGTCTAGGCTCTGTTTCAGACGTGTGTCTTGATTTTAAAAAATCCAACATCTTGGACCCTTCTTCATCCACAACAAATGAAGAGCGGCTCGGCTCAGAAGGATCCCTGGTGCAATGATCTATCTGATCTTCGCAACAAATTGAAAACTAGCCCCCCACCCCACTCCCCACCGTCTTCTTCCTTTGACCATACCTTTTTGGTCTCCACCCAACCACACGGAGACTAGCTCCGCCGCCCTGCGAAGTGGCGCCTTCTCTGGCTCTGGAGAGTTTCCCCTTCCGTCCTACATAGCGGACTCCACCGAGAAAAAGAGAGAGAGAGAGATGTTGGGACTAAGACATCTGTAATACGTACAGTACAATTGATAATCCAATTGATAATCCAATAAAACATCTACAGTATATCCTCTCATGATTTCTTCACGGTAGTTGAGATGTTGGGAGAATTGTGAGACTATCCCATGCTTCTTGCCATTCTCGCTACGTGTTTTTGACACGGCCGCTATTGGGATCTAGCGCCATTGACCAAAAGGAAAGGGACGGCTTCGAGGCGGCTCCCCCCGACGGGCTTTCGATTGTTGGGGCAGGAGGTGCTGGGAGTTGCTGCTGGGAACTGTGGGATGTTACACGGATACAGACATAGCAGACCATGTGCAAACGTTCCAGGTCCGATGGTCAGCCCCCGATGATCAGCATCTTAGCAGCATCAATGAACAAACATCCACCTCGAATCCGGGAAACTTTGGAATTCGGACAAATCGTGCTGTTGTTGTAATTACTCGTGAAGCACAGGCAACCAGCAAATCCGCTGTGGGCTTGTGGCTTGTGGCTTTCGAACCCTCTTCCCACCAAGTGCCCAAGTGCCTTCAATAAGCTAAGCACGTCGGTGAGGTTGTTCTTCTTGGGGGGCCACGTTCCGATGGAACTCCTGTTCCCGTCGAGTCGCCCCTT